TAGAAACCAGATGCACCAACCCCAAAACCCCAAAACCCCAAATCATTTGAATACTCTTAATTGAGATGGAATGTGATTAAAATATTAAGATTCATTAATATAATGCATCGTAATGACCAGGGACAAATAATAGTTTTGCTCTGAACCCACTATACCCCTCCTCTGGCAAGTTTATTACCTCAATACCACCGTCAGCTCTGACTGAGTTGATTTCAACTCCTAGTCCAAGGTAGTTAGTAATTGCTATGATTTGTGGTTGGTCACATTCAACATCAACTTGCTCTACTTCTCTCATGCAAAACTGTGCAACATCTCCAACAAATCCTTCAAACATAATGGCATTTTATTTCAGATAACAAGCAGCTAAGAATCTTGCAAACATGATGATGTAAACTGCCTCTTCCTTATTGCAGAGTAGCTTCAATAAATGCTCTGCTGCCTTTGCCTTTGCAATAGTCTTTAGCTTCTTAAACTCATCCAAGAACAAGTCATAGAAATCCTCTATAGCTATTTCGTCATATCCCAAGTCCATTAAATCTTTCTTGCTTCCCACTAAAACTTTGAGTATCTATTCATATTATGGATCTTCTGGGTTGTGAATGAAATGCTCGAACACTTAGAAAAGGAAAGCTCTGTAGAAACAGTTGCCGTCTCTTCTAAGTCTTCTCACTTTGCTATAGCGAGTGGCTAATTAGTCAAAGCAAAGCTCAAATTTATTGTCCTGATACTCATGCTTTAAGACACTTAATTCAGTAAGCTCACTAATAAATGGCATCTGCTCCTCAATCTCCTGCTTTAATTAGTTCTGATAGTCTTCATTGAGCTTGATTTGGGTTTGGAACTCATCTAACTGTTCCTAGGTCATAGTGACTCTTTGGTCTTGCCCTTGTTCACCTGCTCCTTGACTGCTGGAATTTTGATCTTGTTACTATTATTGTTGATCACTTGAATTATTTTCCATTTGTTTATTTTTATTAAAATCTATTACTAATTATTTTAGGCTTTATAATTTCCTTCTCCATTCCTCTTTGGGCTCTTGGGGTT